GAGGTGACATGGATCGTAAAAAGAAGTGAGCACTTTTGTTATTGCTTAGGAGATACAGGCAAAAGAAACAAAGAAGATTTTGGGTTCATCCCAATCAATTAATAAGTTCTTGCGATGCGTAGTGCGAGCTCGCAAATTTTTGCGTTGCGACGTCACACCGCAGCTTTGTGTACAAGCCCAAAGGACGAACAGATTTTTCATCCATCCCACCCGTCAGGTAGGGGGTACCCCGTGAAAGCCGGCACTGATGTCTGAGGACTTCATGCCGTCATCCCCTCAGTCAAAAACTCATTTGTCCTTCTTTCACAAAATTCAGCCAAAAGGGTAAGGAAGCTGGACTCTAACCTGAATGACATGAAGACGACGTTCAGTAGAATAAGTTCAGTAATCACCCAAAGACAATTGTGGATACTAACAATCGAAACTTCGTGAAGTAACTTAGCTTGATTTTTATTTCATTTTAATTGCTCAATTTTTTTGCTTAATTTTCAAAGCAAATCATATTAGACAATGGAAGTCCGAAATAATGAAATTAACTTGTTTTATTACCTCATCAGCACCTTTCTGGATAATGCTACGAAATCAAGAAATTTTTGGGAAAGAAAGGTTTCAGCTTTCTACTTCTCCATCTTGATACAAAAAAATGTGGGAATCTTCCAAAAAAAGGAAAGAAGCTGTCAATTTCAAAAAATGAGATATTAACAGAGATATGTATATCATGCAAATAAGTCACTTTTACACATGAATCAATATGGTATGATAATAATTCTCTGAAATGTATTGACGTTTTGGATTATTTTTTTTTCAGTAATTAATAGGAAAATCTATACGGTATATAGTTTACGAAACAAATTTAAAAATGTTGGTCTAACCTGTCCTTAAAAAAAGTACCCGTTTCAATTTAGATATATTCTCTTTTCATTCTCAAAGTGAAATTGGCTTGATGAAAAAATGAGATCTTTTTTTGGTAGGCTCGGAAACACATCATTAAACCACGGCAATCATCAAATCAAATTTTAAATCTCATCCCAGTACAAACACATACCATACGGAATATGTAATGAATGTTATGACTAGTAATTGTAGAGACAAGAACGTCCATTTCCTAGATCTAATCTAATTAAACGGAAGATTTGTGTTATGGATGATGATTTACGAAGTGTGACATGCATCATTTGCCTCCCACAAGTGTTCAACGAAATTGGGAAGTAGCGTTTCCTCTAATAAAAATATCACTTGATTCATTTTCACAAAAGTCACTAGTTGACACCAGTGTATAAATAGAACAATAAATTGAATATTCATATGATAATTTATAGCCAGATAAATTTTGTAATGAAATTTGCCTACTTTCAAGATAATCATTCAACTCTGTTTTTCAAATATAAATGCTACGTTCTCTACATTTAATTGTATGGAAATTAATTCTTTCCAATTGAACACCTCTTTAGTTTTCAGTAATATAATAATAATGGTAGTCAATTTTAGATTATGATAATACTAATAAATAATAATAAAAGCGTTTATTTCAATAATATTTGCATAAAATATATATACAAGTAAGTAAAATACGTAAGAAGTAAACGTAATACGTCACGAAAGCATCGCTTATGTGTGAAAAACATAGCATGAATAAATTGGAAAATACAATAATTTAGAAAAAAATACAATACATCGATAATTGTTTCGGTCAACTTTCATGGAGATTATGATTCTAGTTCTGATTTGTTAATGAGTCTCGTCTCTGGGGATGGCTTCGATAGAGTTTGAGGGGTCTGCTATGTGATCCGTTTCTCAACGCTACGCAGACCTAACATTATATATTCAAAATGGAAATGATGAGTTGGATTTGAATCATAAAAAATAAAAAAAATCATTCTGTTTGAGATACTTCAAAAACTGTCTTATTACTTCTTACTTGATTAAAAAATTTTATTTCAAGATACAGATAAGTAAAAACTATTTATATGAAAGTTTAAGGAAAGGTCCGAAAAGGCGCTGAAAAAAATTACAAAAGTTATAAACAATTAAGTGAAAAAAAATGGGGCTTTAGTTTTTTTGAACATCTCGAAAAATTTTCAAAATTTTG